GCGCACATACCAAGTATACAAAAGAGCATAAAATTAACATAAACAAACATAAACATATTTATAACAATTTCATAACATAAAACAGACTTACGTGAGTATAGCTTGAACAGACAAATGGAAGCTTGACGCACCACCAAAGCTCACACTCAGAGCACACTTACATCACACTCACTCACACTTTACAGAACACTCAGAGCACACTTACAAATCTCTTAGACTCTAGAAGTACTCCAAACAATTGATGCCCTTCTTTCTACCAAAGGCCTCCTTATATATGTTTTACATCTAGACTTCAACGCCTCTTAAGTCCGTGTTGGTGGACTTCAAAATGATTTAAGTCCACACAGTTGTCGGTGAACTTCAAAGTAGTTTAAGTCCGCAAAGTTGTATTGCGTGGAAAGTTAAGGTTTCCTATGACACGTGTCCTGAATATTGTGGAGTTGGTCCTCCCTTTTTCTTTATTAGCAGGATGCTGATGGAAGAATCCCATAGCGATCAGCACCATTCAGATCGGTCATATTTTCTTTTTTGTCTTCTTCTTTTACTGAAGTGGAAGACATGTTATCTGTTTCTTCGTCTTCCAATGCGCCGATGAGCTGTTTTTTAATATCTGCCTTGGATAATTTAGGATTTTGCTTTTGTAGTGTTTTAACATAATCCATTATCTCATCAAGAAATTCCGTTTTAGGAATACGATCATATTGTTGGATACTTAAGCACTAAATTTTCTAGAATAAGTGGGGTTGTGTCATATATGTCCCACCATTTGATATAGATTTGCCTTTGTAATTCAAGGATATAATCCAACGTTTCTATATCTTCACATATTATATGAGCCCACCTCATTATTCATGGGAATTCATATAACCAAATGAAATAAAGATGCAAATCCCTTTTAGGGGCTTTTCTATTAAAATCATATCTCTTATGGGATTCTTGTAGCTCAGTTGGTAGGATGTTGAATTAGACCCCCATATTAGAAACTAGTTAGGAAAATCCTTTAAGGATTTTAGTTTGAATTATATAAACCAACTATGACTTGCCATTAGATTTTGGCATGATAATATCATGTCCCATGCTTTGATATAATCATAATAATAGTAAAATTTTATCTTGAGGCTCTTATCTTTAAGATATTTTGGTTTCAATAGATCAAATCCCCATTCTCTATAAGAGATAATATTCAATATTGTCATTTGTTTTAAAAGGCTAGAATATTGATGTTATTTATGTAGTTATGGATTATGATAGTTGACCCAGTTTCGATCAGTATTGCTTTAAAATAATTTCTATATTTGTCTCCCATATTAGGGTGTATATGGTCTTTTAGATAAATTGTTGCTATTTCTGCTGACATTTTAGCCATATGATTATCCTCTATTATTATCATTATTATTATCATAGGGATAATGGATGTTTCGAGGAATGGTGTCCTTGGAGGTGTCTGAGAGTATGGACTTTGAGTCTTGATAGGATGCGGTGATATTCCAATATGATTTTGTTATGTCCTTATTAAGGAAGAAAGGGAAGGAAGAGATGCAATATAAAATTATAGAAGAAAAAATAGAAACTCCAAAAATAAGAAAAAAGATGCAAGACTTCCAAAGTCTTTTGGAAAAAGAAATTTGTGTGCTGAAATCCCTAATGAACATATCGTAGAATTACCATATGAGCCTGGCTTTAATGAAAACCACATCCCAACAAAAGTTCGACCTATTCAAATGAACAACAGACTAGTAGAGATTTGCAAAAAAGAAATCCAAGAGCCATTAGATAAATGACTTATTAGAAAAAGTCACTCGCCTTGGAGTTGTCCAGCCTTTTATGTAGAAAAAGCAGTTGAATTAGAATGAGGAGTTCCACGGTTAGCAATTAATTACAAACCTTTGAATAAAGCCCTAAGGTGGATTCGGTACCCTATTCCTAATAAAAAGGATTTACCAAACCGACTATACAGGGTTGTGACATTCTCAAAATTTGACATGAAATCAAGTTATTGGCAAATTTAGATCGCTGAAAAAGATAGATATAAGACTGCCTTCATAGTTCCATTTGGTCATTATGAATGAATTGTTTTACCATTTGGGCTTAAAAATGCCTCTTCAGAATTTCAAAATATAATGAATGAGATATTTAATATTTATACGCGGTTTACTATTGTCTATGTAGATGATGTGCTAGTATTTTTTAAATCCATAGAGCAACACTGGAAACATGTGAACCCCTTTTTGAAAATAGTAAAAGAAATGGGCTTGGTAGTATCAGCCAAGAAAATAAAGTTATTTCAAACAAAAGTGAGATTCATTGGCCATAATATATACCAAGGAACTGTTATCCCAATTGAGAGATTAATATAATTTTCAGATAAATTCCTAAATGAAATTAAAGATAAAAAACAACTACAAAGGTTTTTGGGAAGCCTAAATTATATAGAAGACATTTACAAAGACCTAGCAGCATATTGTAAACTACTATTTCAGAGATTAAAAAAGAATCCCCTAAACTGAACCAATGAACATGCCAACGCAGTCTAGAAAATTAAGCTAAAAGCTAAGGAATTGCCACACTTAGCCATAGCCAATCCAAAAGCTTATAAAATAGTTGAAACATATGCTTCAGAAATAGGCTATGGAGGGATTTTAAAACAAAAAATTCACAATAAAGAACAATTGGTAAGATACACCTTGGGTATTGAGAAATCGGCACAACAAAAGTACTCTACAGTGAAAAAAGAAATTTTAGCCCTGGTGCACTGTATCACCAAATTTGAAAGTTGTTTTTTCTGGGTAGCTTCGACATCGAGTGAAATACCACGTGTAATTATTAATAAAATCAAATACTAAAGTTGTAAAAGAAAATCATGTCCATATTTATCAAAAAAGGAAAATTATGTCCATATGTCCTAAAAAGATATTCTTATATTTATTTCTCAATCCTAATTTTTACGGAAATGATCACTTGTATAGAAGAAATGGGAACAGACGAAATGAAAACAAAAAAAACTTCATAAAAATTCAAAATATGTTTTGATTTGCTCATTATTCTCAATATGCATGACACGTTCGAGTCCACTTAGACTCAGATGCAGTGTACAACTTGGGAATATAAAAAATAAAAAAAATGTAATCTTTTTAAAAAATGTAGGATTGTTTTATAATCTTTTTGTATATGATTTTAGATGTAATTGTCAAAGATTGGTGAGTGTTTTTTTTGCCATAACTACTATTTTTATATTTTTCCTTTCTTGAAATATTTTAAATGTCTCAAAGTGTAAATTGATTTTTTTTAAACCCATGTTTATCAAATCAGACCTCCATTTTGGTACAACGAGAAGTAGTTTACTATAGTCAGTACAATGAAATTTGTGGAACTAATCATACGCATGTGCAGGACGACTGCTGAGTCCTCTCTAGCTCAGCCACAACACCCTAAAAAAGGAATATGTTATTATTATGAGTGGCTGGTGCAGTAGGGAGCTGAGGAGTGAGGCAATAGTTAGGATAGAAAGAAGGGGCTAACTCCCGATGGAGTAGAGGGGACGATTATGGTAACAAACTTGAAACGCGGAGCCTGAACGGCCGGCGAGCCAGTTTTTTCTCTACATTTGTGAGCTTGTTTTAACTTTTTAAAGTCGTCTTAGATTTCAATTTACTTTAATTACAATTTTTTATTTTTAAAATTTTTCTATTTATTCATAATTTTATTTATTTTTAGGACCACAAGGCCTGCGTTGGACTAGACCGAATCTGAGGGACTCGCTTTTGTTAGGGGCGAATTCCCTTGCAGAGGCTAGCCCCAACACACTATTTTACTTTTTTAGAAAATAAGAAGTCTCTCTCTCATTTAACTTAACCAAAAAATAAAATGAAAGAAAAAACTTAAAAATGGCAAGGACAATGAATTAACTGAATTTTTTTTTTTTTCAATTCATTCAATATTTCAACTGTTTTATTTGTAAAGTCTCACGTGCCTGCTAACCTTTACGAGTTACCATAAAGGAAAATGGTTTGAGAGGACTGTAGCTTTATCAAAATAAGTAAACCTCATCTTATAACTCATCAAAAATTACAATTCAAGTATTGGTAGACTTTTACATTGCTTATCTCTTCTTGAGCACTATTGTTGTGAAAAAAATTAAGATTTCAAGCTCTAAAAATAGTATATATTGTAACAAATTATCTATTTAGTCTATTTTGCTTTAAAAGAAGTGTTCATATATTAGCAAGATGAATAAATATTTTTGTGTTTTAAAAATTTTGTATCGGTCTAAGAAATTGATTTTAGAGATATCGTAGACACATTCGCTGCCTACTTTCCGAATCATTCGAGGTGAGGGTTTATTTTATTGTTTCATAAAGCCTAAGCCTCATGAAACCTCATCCTACCATGAAACTTATCCAGCTGCCCAAGTCCCGTAATCTGAACGGAAGATCCTTCTGCCACGAGGTAAGATCAGACGGTCCAAAAATGGTACACATGGAGTACCGGTTTGCATTTCCACCTCGTCATCAACGAACCCAACTGCTTGCTTCGACTGCATCGCTATCGCTCAAGTAGCAAATATGTCTACTCTCTCATTCTCCTGTCTCTGCTTTGCTCAATTTTTTGTGGATTCAGAAACCCTAAGCTTATTCCCTCAACAGAGAGGTGGTCCTAATCTTCCTCTTCCTCACTTATAATATTTTCTTTCTTCCTCACTTATAATATTTTCTTTCTCATTCCCTTCTGATGAATTTGTGCGAATCAACGGGGGTCACTGCATGTGCATTTCTTGTGTTTTAATTCGATATATGATATTTCTGAGTGTTATCATTTGTCTTTTTTTTTACTTCTTCAGTAGAACAGCTATGACTCTGTGTTTTTCTTCTTCTTGCTGTTAAAGTGCTTAAAGTTATGTGGATATCTTTTTTTTTTTATTATGTTAACTGTTATTGATTATGTTGCTCCATATATATATATATAGATTGTTTTCATGTTAGGGAGATTTTTATTGCTTGGTTTCTTCCGTTATTTGTAAGTCCTACTCAAGTTGTAGTTCCTTATATGCCACAAGGATGGATTTGGATTTTTTGGACCATGTTTACATCTCATTTTAGTCTCTTTTTTTTTGTCCTTTCTATTTTTAAATTTCTCTATTTTATCTTTTTAAAGAATTGTATGTTCATCTGATCTGTAGAAGTTAGCTGAGATTCATGCTCTTGTCTGATATCACATTCAAATTTGGAAATTAGGGCTTCTTTGCTGCGAGTGTTCAATGGATTTCACTGCTTGTGGGTGTTGGAATCGGTCGATGTAGTGCGATGATCGTGCAATGGGCATGGTCATGGTGTCACACTTGTGATGCCAAATTGCGTTTATCATCCGAAACATGGTCATGGTGTCACACTTGTGATGCCAAATTGTGCTTATCATCCGAAAATTGAGTATTCATGGATCCTTTTTGTTGTAGACAATAATTTTACATTTTTTCTTAATGGATGTAGACCTAAAATGATTTTCTGAATCTTTTAGACATGTGGATAGGTTAGAAGTGGAAGTATCATTTTTCGATAACCCAGGTAGAGATTACAGCCTTAGTGACAAAATAGTGACTGATTTATAAAATAAACAGAATACCTCAATACAAATGGAAGCCGGTGGTGGTTGTCAAGGTAGAAAAGCCACGTAGAGCCTATGCTGATGACTTTGGAAAATGGTCAAACTCATATGTAGTTTGTATCGGATAATTGTCTGATTCTCACATTGGACAATCAAATTTGCAATTTTCTGGTCCAACCTAATGATCTTAATGAGGTCTTTTATGTTCCAAAATTATCTCTTGGCAGTTTAGGATTGAATAACTAGCTGAGCTCAATTTTGGTGTGTCATTTGTATGGCTGCTTGCTCTATAGGATATGATAGTTGAGAAGTTAGATTCCGTGTAGCAATTTAGTTGGCACACAGTCTCACACCTATTATTGTATGCCCCAGCTTCGACCTCTAGTACATTGTCATTATGAGACTCTAATATTTACATACCAATTGATGTATATGCTGAAGGAATGGAATCTCAATGCTTATATGGAAGTAACATTCAGCCAAAAGGTATAAACGCCCTTGCATTATTATGACGACCCCCCAAAGAGACATGTAGCATGTATATAGTTTCGTGGATTTCCATGGTTAACCTAGAACATTGGCATTATATAATTGCTTATTGTGATACCCTCGTCCATTACTCGTCAATTGGAAACTGATGTGGTGTGGAAATCATGTACTTAATAATAAATCAGGTGTCTGTTGGTTTGTAAAAAGTTGGAAAATGTCCTAAGAACCCCTGCGACTTGGTTGTGTTGGAGCGTCTATGACTCTGTTGTGTTAGAGAAGAAAGTTACGATTCTACCGTATTCCAAGAAGTGGTGGATATTGGCTGGCATTCAACCCATATATCTAACTTAGAACAATATCCTATTTTTTAGTCTTCCATTAAATTGAAACAGTTTTGAGAAAGACAAGTCATAGATCATTATGTATTAGGATAACAAACTGATTTAATTTGAAGTTAGCAGCTAATGCAAATGATGCATTTGAGGCCCTGAGTTTGTTACAACAGTGTTCTTTTGTGCAAAAAATGACAAAAAAGTCCTTAGAGACTTAGATACAATATAAGGAGGACTAAGTCTTCAATAATCTCACAACACTCCCTCTCAAGATGGTGCATAAATACCAATCATGCCAAATTTGCTTAAGATAACTTATAGTCGATGTTTCCCAACAGCCTTTGTTAGAATATTTGCTAGCTGGATCTTCTGTCTTCACATAAGGGAGACAAATTTCCCTGGTAGCAACTCTTTCTTGAATAAAATATTGATCAAACTCGATATGCTTGGTCTGATCATGCTGAACAGGATTGTGAGCTATACTAATGGTTGCCTTGTTATCAGAGTATAAGGACATTTATCTTATGAAAATCAATTCCCATAATAAGATTCTTAAACACTACAACTGACATGCACCATGAGCCATGGTATGTGGCATAGACTTAGTAGCGAGAGCTAGGGTATTAGCAAAGAAGAAGATAGGGAAGATCCAAACATACAGAAAGATTCAGAAACCAAAGGTAAAAGAAGGAGCACTTGCTGTTGTAGGGTTTTGAATTAAAGTCCATAACATTATTTCCCATTATGCTTGAGTACATCTGTTGTATAAGAAAACCCTAAACAAGACTTAGTCTTGGCCATCCATCTAATCTAATCATGGCCTTTATTATAAAATACTTAAGTGAATAACAAGACATAACAGCCTCTAAAAATTACGACTTATGCCCCTAAGTAATTAAAATGACTCAAGCAATAAATAAAAGACATAAAAGGATAGACTCAATGACTACTTTGTCCTTTTGTTGTTCCTCCTGTAAACTTTAAGTTTGTCTCTCTTGTCTAGATAATTCCCTTCCTCAAAAGAATTCGCCCTCGAATTCGGCGGTTTGTTGTCGGAGTATCACCATGATGTGGAATGAGATGCTTGACATTAAGAACATTGGAAGTGTGAATATGGATGGGAAGCTTCAATTTGTAGGCATTGTCATTAATCTTCTTGAAAAGTTTGAACCATCCTACTGTGACGATACTTGAGATCAAGGCATGCCAATTTACTGCATTCCCCATAGACATTTGATTAACCATGTCTTGGGTCCATTGAAACTTTTCGTACTTGTAGTACATAAGCACACCACACTTGAACCTGAGCACATTGGAAAATACACTACCATGACTTTTGAAGCGGTTCAAGATTAATGATGCATTACCCCCGTGATTTCCTTTAATTCACATGTAGTGATTAGAGATAAAGGTTCTCCTCTCCAAACAAAATATGGTCGAAGCTGAACTCTAACATCAGAAATCACATAAGGACCCATTCAATGGCTACCTTCTCTTTTTAACTCACTAGCAAAATGTTCATAAGAAAATATCACCAAACCCTTGGTGTGCACATCACATGAAACTCCATATTCAGGTAAAACATCAAGTAAAACAACATTCTTACCGTCACCGTCATCTCTTTGATCCTCCTTTTCTTCACCTTTTTGTTCTCCATAGAGATTATCACCCATCAAATCATCATTAAAGATGGGATCCTCATCAAAGATGGGATCACTATCAAAGACATGATCACTATCTCCATCAAAAGGTTCCTGCTAAAGATCGGATAACTATTAAAGCTATGATCAACCACTTCTTTCTCAACACCCAAATCTTCATCCAGATACTTGTCAAAGACTAGCGGTGAGTCCTAGTCCATAATGTGCTGATCTTGAGAATCGTTTGATAAGAACGAAGTTTCTTCATGGTTGTCCTTAGATAGACTTCCATAACACTTTGGGATCTCAGCCTTGAGACCAGTTTCCCATCTCCTACTATCCATATCCATACGATCAACTACCTCTCTCCTTGGAGCTTGATCATGGAAGGAAGTTATGGATTCCTCATCTGCCTCGATCTCATACTCCTGAGATGGGTCTTCCATTTGCGCTAAACGTAGAGCTAGGGTTTCAACCAATCTCCTCAGGTCTGCAATCAATTCTCGCGAACTAGCATCAAAGGCTTCTATGGTTGTCGTTTTCCTCCTTTTCCACTTCGTGGAGGCATGGTTCTTGATCTATGGCACAAAACATCCGATGTTATAGTACCGTGCTACAATACCATCCCTATTGATCGTCGTGCTATGATACCAACTTGGCGTAGACCTATTAGCTTGAGCTAGGGTTTTAGCAAAGAAGAAGATATGGATGATTCAAAAATAGAGAAAGATTAAAAAATCAAAGGTAAAAGAAGGAACACTTGCCGCTGTAGGGTTTGGAATAAAAGTCCATAACATTATTCCCCATTATGCTTTAGTTCATCCGTTATATAAGAAAACCCTAAACAATACTTAATCCTGGCCACCCATCTAATCTAATCATGACCCTTTATTATAAAAGACTTTAAGTGGATACCCCTAAGTAAATAAAAAAAATTCAAGCAATAAATGAAAGACAAAGGATAGACTCAATAAATAATTTGTCCTTTTGTTGTTCCTCTTGTAAACTTTATATTTATCTCTCTTGTCTAGATACCTGAGAGCAGTATTTTGGGCTGCATCAGAGTGATACTCTGCTTTTGCACTTGACGGGGTTACAACTGATTGTTTCTGAATCCTTCAAGTCATAAGTTTAACCTAATGGAGATCTTTGATCTATAATAACCAACCCAATTTGCATTTGTATAGGTCTCAACTTGCAAGTGCCCATGATTCATGAACAACAATCCTCTACTTGGTGATGATTTCAAATATCTAAGAACTCTGTAAGTAGGTTCAAGAGGAGTAATTTTAGGAGAATGCATGAACTGACTGATGACACGTGCAATATTTGGACGCGTAAGTGAAGATATATCAACCTACCCATCCAGCTTTGGAGAGTACCTACATCTATAAGTTCTTCACCTTTTTTATCATCGAGCTTGTGATTTTGTGGCATAGTGGTGCTGGCCTAGTAGCTTGGAGCTTGGGTGTAGCAAAAAAGAATATATGGAAGATCCAAAATTACAGAGGGATGAAAAAAAAAAAACAAAGATAAAAGGAGCACCTGCTGCTATAACATTTTGAATGAAGTCCATAACAAGATGCTT